AAGTTGTTTCTTAAATACTAGTCAAAAAACTTAGACTCGTTTGGGAACTAGTCAAACCTGTGCTCCTGGCTTTCCAGTAAAAATTGTCACATGTTAAGAGACTCACATCTTCTCAGATCCTCCTGCCACCTCTTGTCCATCATTATCCCAGATTAATGTCTGTACCTCCTTTGTTCTGCAATGGGCCTTGCTGACAGTTCTGCTAAAAAGTATTTTGCTGCACCGCATGTTGAGAAATGCATGCCAACAGCCATCCTTCTCATTGAAGTTACCACAGAGGAGTCACACCGTGCCGTTTTCTCTGGCCCGTTTGTGCAATGTCAGGTAAGGCAGGATGTGACTCAGCCATGACTGGGTTCAGAAGTCGGACTCTGAAATCTTCTGGTTTCAGTTTACTTTGGGAATTCTTGGGACTGACAGAAAAAGGAAAGTGAATCAAGAGAAAATTAATGATAGATGCTCTAAACCTTGGTCTTTTACAAAGCCTCCATGTATCCCTTCCTCAGAAGGCATTGATTCTGTAGTCCTCTGAGGGGTAAAGGAGACTGGAGAAACTGATTTTCCCTCTCTTTCTATTCCCTTCTTTGCCCAGTTCAACAGAAGAAATCTCAATTTCCTCCAGCTCTAGGCTGTTTAACACTAGAAAGCAATTGTTCTGTCAGCAGCACGAGGAAAAACTCTTCCCATGCAGATCATATCTCCCCTTTCCCTTCTAGTGAGGGTGGCTTGGAAATCACCTTCTCATGAACCAGGGCTGAGCTTCCACCTTTGCTTTGAGACAAATCCTCATTATAGTTTCCCTAAGGATACTCCGAAGGATGGCTTGAGGCCATCTTTCACAAAAGCCAGGGAACCTTGCTTAGCATTCCTAATCTCAGAGATACACACAAGCATACACTAAAGTTCTGATCAAAGCCATGGAAGGCTGCATCTCTTATACATTTGTAATTTTAATATAAAACCATAAGATATACCTGTTCACATTCCTTTAGCCTAGAGAGTCACTTTTTCCTAATAGTTGAATCATATCACAGCCTCTCTTACACAGTGTGGTCAAGGTGAATCGATTTCATAGCACCAAATTTCACAGAATTGAACTGAATCTCTCATGACTTGCATATGGATGCCAGATACAGCCACATTTTAATTCTCTGCTATTCATGAAAACAAAGAGCATATGCCTTTATCAATTCCACTAATCCAAACTAATCTTTGCATTGAATACTTGGCATTAAGAGACAGTATTTATACCCAAAATAAGCAAAATGATATGTTTCTATTGCATTCATTGTTTTATCTCACTGGGTCCCTCCCACTATGTTTTCTTAGATTGATATGACTCACAAATGGCCCTGCAAATACAGCTCTCCCATACAGACCTATTTGCACAAGTGGATCCCAAAAAATGTGCAACAGATCCAAAGAGGGAACAGAATGACCAGAGAGGAAAGAAACTGGAAGCATATAATAACCTTTTAGGACAATTCCCAAAATTTTTACTGGTAAACATGTCTGATATGAGCACTTCAGTCATGCACACATAGATGACACACTTGTGTGTGGGCAGAGGATGAAATTGGGTGTGGACTGCGTGCCTCTGCAATAGGCAAAGTGATAGGTCTAACTCAGCACCAGAGGCACTGAGTCATCTGTTCAGAGCTTAGAGTTCTTCATCATTCCCTTTATCACATGGAAAAATCCAGGCTGGATTGCCTGAAAATTTATCCTTTCTGGCTGGGGCCCAATCTGAGAGAAAGGCCAACAGCACAACAGGATTTAGACACACTTGGAAACCCTCCCCAAAGTCCACTGATTCATGGAAAGGGATTGTATACCCCCACAAGAACACCAAGCTCTCAGAACAGTTATTTTGTTTCTATCATCCTCCTGCAGCAAGAGCATAGGTGAAAATAAACAGGCTTGTAAGTATCTTAAATGACACTTGAAGGATTGAACTCAGAGGCAATTGAAAAATACAAGCATCTAAGCCAGTGTATGGAAGTGTGTCAAGAAAAAGCAATATCTAATTTTGGGCAATGATCACTATGATCATCACAGATGCTGACAGTGAGTAAACATATCTATATTCTGCAATCATGCCCAGCATCAGTTTCACATTTTCTTTTTCTTACCTTTTCAACACAAATTGGTAAACTAGCTACATGCCAACAAACCCAATGGCATGATGGCAGAGAGGTACTCCTTTATTCTCAAAGCAAAAACTCAACTACAGCCAATCTTAACAGCCTGAGCCAAAGAAAACATCAGAAAATGTTATGAAGACATGACAATATCACACAATAATACCACAAGCAAGATAGCTGCTGTGGCTTTACTTGTACCACCTCATAAGGATATGGCATAAATCTGGTATATATAAATATTCCTGCTGTAGGCAGGAAGAAAAAATATTGTTACTGCATAATTTCCAGATGCAGGTCTTGACCACTTCATATATGCTGTCAAGTGAGAAGCATTATAGGAGAGGTATTATATATAACAGAAGAATTGTATTCCCCACACCCCTAACAAGAGAAGGGAAAAAAGGTGGTGCTTGTTAGAATAGGTATTGCTCCCAATTCTCCCCCAGTAGTTAAAACATACACATGCTGTGGCATGAGCAGATTGCAGGGGATGAGCAGCAAGAGGAGTGGCTAATTAGCCCCTCTAGTTGAGGAATAACTGATTAAATGTGCCAAGTTCAGGGCTCTAGCCCGGAGGTCAAGCCCATCTTTATGTCCAGTCCTCCTGCTTTTGCTGTCATTCAGAAGTGGCTTCTGCATCAGTAAAACCTTTCAGATGAGATCTCTTCGATAATTTTGGTATCTAACTCCTCTCTTAACATCTGGCTTTGTAGTAATCTTAATTGGTAATCAAGTTCTCAGAGAATGGTTTGTCTGTTAAGAAAGCAAAGTTTCTATTACAGCTTAGAGAGCTTATCTCCTTCCTGCCTAATGCAGGATTTCTTTTTCTTTTCACTGAAACAGCTGGAGACCACCACCATGGGAGACTGGGAAGTGAACTGGATGAACTCTGAATCTAACATAATCACAGTTTCTGTTCTCTCAAAAAAGTATGATCAAATGATTAATGATGAGGGTGAACCATAACTGAGACATAGGCTGATCCCAGAGAGTGAGTCAAAACCGAAAGTTCATCAGCACAGATTTTTATATCAATACCAAAGATCAATTTGGTCAGAAGGTTCCTAAAACAGAAGTCAGGGTGAATGACTAAAATCTGGGTAGACAAGATCCTGCAGCAGCCATCAGATAAAATCAGTTAAAAATGCAGTTTGTTATGGAAGTCAGCCAGCTCCCTACATGTCCCAACAACAGTACCCCCAAAAATGCAAACCCCAGCTGCATGTAAATAGACAGTTCAGTTCTGCACATACACCCTGGCTTGCCTCTCATTAGCATGAAGCCTACATGTATTACCATGGTTTGTAGAGGTCTGACAACAGAAGCCCAAGCAATGTTATCTCAAGGATTCCTTGTGCCCCCCAGGCGCTCTCTGTGCCCTCTGCTGTCTTTGCACTGCAGTTGGACCATGAGCTGACTGCAAAGGGAGCCTTTTGTTCTGTTTGCAGAAAACGTGTGAGTGACGACAGCAGCAGGAATAATAAATATAAACGGTATTACGCACACATGCAAACATCCCTGCGGAAAATTCAGCCATAGGGTGAATACCAAAATTTTACTTGTCACTTAGCTATTTATAAAGTCAAAGAGACTCAGAAATAGCAAAAAAATATCTTGTAAAAGATATTTTATCCTTGCCAAAAATGCCTCCCAGACTGGACAGCCCCAGGGGCTGAGACCTGAGCTCTGCTCCAAACAGCAGTGGTACCTTCCCAGCGGGGAATTCCCAAAACAGGAAAGATACCCCAGAGCTGACACAAAGCCAGGAGATTTGGCTCCCACGCCAGACTTCCTCCAGCTGTCAAGACAAGTGTGTCATGGTTAAGAAACCCGCTGTGCTCTGGCTATTTCCTGCTGGAGCTGTGGCAGGCTGGGCAAAGACAAGAAGAGCTCAAGGGCTCTGTTGAGCATCTCTGGCCCAAGATCAGAAGCATGCACCCAGCCCCATCCTCTCCAGAGGCATCCAGAACTGCATGGCATTGCAGACAAGGTCTTTTATCAGTCCCTATAAGCCTTCTACCACCCTTTTTGTAGTAATGCTTCTGTGGCATTACTCAAGAGTTCATCTGTCATTCTGCTGGATGCACTCCTCCTTGCCACCACTCCCCTCAGAGCCATACCTGTGAATTACCTTTTGCTTCCAAGGTACAAGAAAAATCCTTTCAGGGGTCAGCACCCTGCTGGGAATCATAAGTGTGCAAATTGAAGCTTTAAACAAGTCCATGCATCACTGAGGTTTTATCTTCAAGGGATGGGGTAAGGCCTCAGGATGCGTGATTTTATCTGCTGATATAAGAGTGGGCAGAGAGATCTGCAAGCTGTCCCAGGCCAGTATAGACTCAGGCTTTAAAAGTCCCATGTGGTTAAACAATGACTCATGGCTGATCCCTACCTTGGCTGTCAACACTCACCACTGCTTTACATCCACACCATTGCTAGAGCACAACTAAAGACCACAAGAAGGAGTGGAAGTGAACGTTAATTTAGAGCACACCACAGCTCACTCAGCTCCTGTGCAAAACAGAAAATCTTGAGGCAGTGGATACTTTATGACTTCTTACAATAAAACTTAAACATAATTAAAGTCCTTTTTTTTTACATCATCTGCAAAAGAAGAATTAATTGGAGGAGCACAGACTGAACACCAGCAGGCCCTTAAAAACCTGTGTTGGGTTCTTTTGCACCCAAGTCTATTCAAAAGAGTAAATGCAAATATATGCATAGGAAGCAATACTTAGATGCACATTTCCACGCATGTGTATAAATATTCAGTAGAGTGCTCCTCTTCTGTGGCATCCTTTTAAATATAGCATCACTTTAAAACCCTTCATGAGTTGAGACACAGACCCAGCTTACCTTCCTACTTCCCAGCTTCTCTTCACCTTTGGAAACTGAATCCTCCTTGCTGTCTCTATGGTGACAGTGACGTCCACGTCCCCCTGATGAGATGGCTGCTGGCACGCACATCAGGTGCCAGAGCAAATCCGTCAGCAACAGAAACCTCTCCAGCTCCTCCATGGGACACAATGCTCTTCTCCACCACTCAGTCAGACAAACTACCGGTAAAGAAAACAGTGTTAAGCCACCATCCTTTGCCTAAAAGAGTGGGAAACTGGGTCTAAAATATTTTTTCCCCTTCAATAATAATTATTGCTAATTGGGAAATAAATGTGATAGCGCTGCTATCAAAGAGCATATCTGAATAACCTACACAGAATGAACTAATTAAAGGTAATTTCTGCCAGAGGGTTTGACAGGGAGAAGATACTTGCATCATGAAGTAGAAGTAGTGATAAGCAGCATGATGAAAGCCTCCTGCAATGTCCATTCACCTGGCACAGGGAACCAGCAGTGACAGAAAGATATTTCTTAGCACATGGTTAGCAGAGAGAGGAGCAAGAGGGGAGATTTTTATCGAGTGCTGAGTGAGAAGCACCAGGTGGGACCTGCAAAGGTGTGCCTTTCAGGCAGCCACAGAAGGTGGCTCCAGTGACTTTCTCTCCTTAGGAGAGACACAGTGAGTCACTAGGGTTGCAGAACACCAGCTATTATATACAGCCCTTGTCATATTTTATGATGTTCTACAGCCTAGTTGTTGAAACACAACCCCATTGTAACATGCTGTCCTGTAGCACCCTGTAGGCATAGCAAAGGATGTTCAGTCCCCACTAGCTCTTCCCTTCTAACTGCCCAGATGGGGGAATATGTGCCAGGGAAACGGCTTTGGCTTCCTGACACAGTCCACTGCCAGCACCAGCTGATACTGCACACTCTGTAGATGCTCTAGATTTTCTTTATATTTAACTGACTTTTTGTAAGTTTGCAGCTGAAGATGTCTGCCACTGCTCTATGTCACTGCAATCCTGCTCCCCAATACAAGGGAGAGGATAAAGGCGTTTGTGGAAAAAGGCCTTGCCCTGAGGATTTTAACTCTGCAAGATACTCTGGTGCAATCAGCTAACTTACAATTCTTCTCTGATAAAGTCATCCGCCCAAAATTTAAGGGTTCTATTCGTCCAGATAAATATTTGGAAAAATGAAACACAGTCACTGATTAGTCCCATGTTTCCCTACATTTTCGCTGATCAGACAAAAAAGAGATAGTCCATCATCTTAAAGATGAAGATTGCAATGGCCAAGCACGTAAGGTACAATCCAGAAAAGCAATAATAATATTTTTTAAAGCAATAAATACAATAGTATATGACTAAAATTTGCATTGCTGTAATGCATGCTAAAGATCTAGTCCCCATAGTGGGTTACTTATGTACCATACCTACTGTTTGGAATTCTTTTCCCTGTGTTTTCTTGTTCTTATTTATCTACCACCTCTTTTCTAGCACTTGGATTGTATATGCTTGGAATTAGAGAGTACTTGTTGCTCTGTGTACTGCCCTTCTCATGCTTGGTTGCTGGACCCTGCCTGAGACTTTTGATGCTAAAATAATATAAAAACAAGGCAATTTGAGGATAAATACAAGGAAAGCCCAAAACAAGACAGTATTACAAGACTTAGTTGCATATATAACCCCTGAGAAGTGAGAACTGCATCCAAATGATGCAATGCCTTAGTCTGTATAATTAGTAGGTACAGAAATCATATATTCATCCAAAGTAATGGAGTTTTCTCTGTACTCTCCTCCCCGTGGGAGTTATAGATATGCTGCAGCAGCCAATAGATTTGTCTTTAAACAACCACAACAGAAGCAGAAGCGCAGAAAGATCTGTTTCTCCTAGTTTGTACAGGACTAATTGCTATTTCATAGCAATAAAAAGCATCCCAATCAAACCTCAGGGTACCTAGGTCACTGGAATAAGAAGGGCTGTATTTCCTGATGTCATCAGAGTTGCCCAGGTGCCTGCAAGTGCCTTTCCATTAGGGACTTACAGAGAGCCCCAGCGAGGCAACAGAGAGAAGCACGGGTCATTTAGGCAAGTCCATCAGCCAAAAGAGTACTGGAAATACCCAGGAAACCGAGGTTTAACTTAAAATATTCCTTCTCCAGTCTTGAGAGATATTTAGCTGCAGAAGGTGACTACAGAGTGCAGCAGTCTCAAGGTGACAGCACACAGAGCAGCTCCACAGAAAGAGCAGGTTCCACTGAAAGTGAGAGTATCACAGAGCACTGCAGAACAGAGATCAGTCTCCAAGGGCTAACCTGTAACTCACACAAAAGTTTAACAGGAAAAGCACCACCAGAAGACGACCAATCTTTAAAGTAACTAACTAACCAATGAAAGGTAAACAGAAGTTTTAAACAGAGAATCCCAAATAAAACCTTTGATTACAATCATTTTGTGTATGAAAACAACAACTGATACCTGTGCATGTACACTGTAAAAAGAAATCTCAAGGGGTTTTATATTTGAGCTTATTAAGGCTACAAAGTGATCTTTCGAAGAGATTCCCTTCTCAGTCTGCATCCATTTTATATGTCACAGGTATTAAAATATTATGCTATCTAGACTTCAGACATCCAAGGGATTTAGATCTCATGACACCATTAATTCACATGGTTAAGCATTATGTACTTCATATTGCAACCATTTACACTTTTGAGAGCATTTTTTGTACTCTAGCCATATATGACTGGGTGACTTTTAGAATTTTTTTTTCTCTCATCTTATCTCTGGCCTTTTGCTGTTTTCATGCTTTTAAAGCTTCTAATGGCAACAGTTTAACACGCTTCTAATTGGAAATGCATAATAATAATTAAAATAGGGTGGGGTTTTAATATAAAAAGGCTATAATTAAGCCTTTTGCTTTGTTTGACAAAGCTATGATTTTTACCAAAACACATGACCAGCCTTCGGGTGGTCTATTCACAGCAAACAATGTATTGTCCTGGGCACACAAGACAGACAAGATGTTGTTTAATTGAGCCTCAGACTTCATTTACTTAACTTTTATGGAAACTACCAGCAATACTTGTAGAGGGTACCATTATTTCTTCTTTCATCAGCACAGTGTCATCAAAGGTTGCCATTATCAGCTGCTTCGTTCTCATGCACTCAGTTACATTCATCACTGGGACACTACAGTACTCTTTGTATAAGGGTTAAAGAGCCAGAGGGAAGAGGTTGTTTCCTCATTACATACAGAAATTCCTCAGACATACAGAAATATACAAAATCTATTGCCAAGTTCTCCAAGAGATTTCTTTCCTGGAGTCCAACCTTAGTTCTCAAGCCAGAAAAAGCTTAGTTGCTCTGTTTCTTGGAGCCTGAGCCCAGGTAAATCATTCGAAGATGAGCAACTCTATAACTAAAACAGGTTAAAAATTCCATCTCTGCAATCACAAAGCAGTCCTTCATCATTTCTGTATAGCTTTGATATCAGACATAATAGTATTAAGTTAATTAATTATTTCCACCATTCTCAGAGTCAGAAAGGTTTGTAAATGACCAGCAAACGTTGCTCAGATCAGTCTGGCACAAAATCACTTCAAAGCAGTTTTCTCTGAAAACATCATTTCCATAAGAGAAGCTTTGAAGACAGTTTGTGTTTTTGAGCCTGTTTGAACAATTATTGGGGAATTTTATGCTGAATTGCACTACTGCACAGAAAAATGGCCAAGAGACACAAACAAGTGATCTCCAGGCTTTTTAGTGAATAGTCCATTCTCACGGAACTTGAGAGCCAAGTGAAGTGGGGTGAGTGGTGACAAGATGAGTTGGCCTGAGAAGGGAAGAAGCTCACCAAGGCAGCCATCAAAATCTCTCTGCTCTGCTTCCCTGGAGACCCCAGCAGTTCTTAGGATGGCTTTAAGACTGTTCCCACGTCCCCAGCTGCCCATCATCTTTATCCTTGCAAACCTTATTCTGCAGCTATTGCACCACATGCCTGGGCAGGACAACTGCAGCTCGTGTCTCCCTTGAGCAGAAGAGTTGGCCACGTCCCTCCCATCCAACAGCTGTGCTCTCCTCAGCTTGAGTCTGCAGAGCCAGGGCACCCACGACAGCCTGTGTTTGTCCTACCTGCAGGGACACAAGCCCACTGTGATGTGCTCCCTCCAGCAGTGCCTGTTTTTTGCTGTCGGGAAAATATGACTGCACACTCCATCCAGGGGTCAGCAGGAAAAACAGCATGTAGCCAATATGGATATTCAGACATTAGGCTCAAGCCTAAGCTCAAATTCTGAGTCAATATGATGACATGGATTGTCCATAGCTCCCAGTATCATGATCCCTGAAGTTGTTCACCCAAGGTTTGACATCTGTCAAGTGTGCTTGTATTTCACAGGACAAACTCAGAACAAGCACATGTAGCCACACAATTATGCTCACCCGTAAGGACTCAGATGTAACACATTTTCCCATTCCAGTATTATTGAAGAAACATTTCATTTTCAGTTGTGTTTTCAGAAAGCTAACAAGGGGCTCATGAATACATCAAAGCAAAGTCATATTATTCATTTACAACAAATGTTTCTGATTACATTCCCTCTGACCATTCAGACAACACTTTATTAAAAAGCTAGAAAAAATCCTGATGTTTTTCAGGTCTACCTCTCATAACCTTAGATTCTGATCTATTTTGCACAACACAATTTGCAGAATATTCACAGGACATGAAATGAAGCACAGGTTCCAGCTCTCGGGAAACCTGAGGTCTACCAGTAAAGCACCTTCCAGCTGAGATGGAGCCATCTCCAGCAAATGCAATCAGCTATGAAAACAGTGGGAAGTACACTGTTCCACACGCATTGAAAATACGTACCCTTAAGGGTCTCACACAAACTGCACCTTTTGTTGACTTCTGAATGGAGTCTCCAGGTGGTTAAAGCACTGACATTGCATTATTTATGGTGATTGAAATGCATCTAAGTAGCGCTTAGCAATAGAATTTACACAAAGACACTTGATGGAAAAAATACAGGGTGGGGGGAGGAGGTTGTTTACA